CCGGGCCAGTTCTCTGGGGTCGGGTCCTGGAGTTTGTAGGTGGCTCCCCGCTGCCCGAGCGGGTGTGGGAAGGAGTCCAGGGTGGGGCTGGCTGCTGGCAGCGGATCTCGTCGTGCTTTGGGCGTCTTCCTGGGTTCCCACGGTTTTCACCGCCCGTGACCTACCGAGCCCACCCCAACCGCCCCCATCCTTCGCTAACTCTTTAGGTGAGTCGGGTGGACTTGGAGGAACCAGGCCGTAAAGCAGCCCTGGTAAAAGCCCACCCGATTTTTAGAAACAGATTTTTTTTCTTTTTAGACAAGAGTTTTGCTCTGTGGCCCAGGCTATAGTGCAGTGGCGCGATCTCGGCTCGCCGTAACCTCCCTCTTCTGGGCTCAAGCCAGTCTCCTGCTTCAGCCTCCCGAGTAGCTGGAACTACAGGTGCGGCCACCACACCTGACTAATTTTTGTATTTTTGGTAACGCTGGTCTGTGTTGGTCAGGCTGGTTTCAAACGCCTGAGCTCCAGTGATCTGCTGGCCTCGGTCTCCCAAAATGTTGGAATTACTGGCGTGAGCCACCGCACCGGTCCAGAAACAGAATTTTGATGCTGGAACTTAAAACACTTCTCTGGACTTCCTAAAATTAGATTCATTTGGCAAGTGGAGGAAGACAAATGTAAAAGACACTCTTTCAGAAAAGAAAGGTGTAAAGCCCTTTAAAAAAAAGTCTGAAAGCTCAGTTTAGATTGTATCTCAACACGTCAGAAATGAAAGGTACAGTGCAGAGTGCCGCCCCTCTCTGCTGCCTGGTACAGAAAAAATACTCAGTATTTGTTGGATGAATGAAATTGTATGCAAAGGAAGCGGGGAAAAGTGAAGTGGGTGAGTGTTCATGTTAGGTGTTGAATGAACCACCTTATCCTTCCAAGCGCTACGCTAGGTTGACTTGCTCTCGACTCCGAAGGTGGGTTTTGTCAAACTGCATTCGTTCAGCATTTATTGCGTGCAGATCTGGGTAGGGACGCTTGGAATCCCAGGGGATAGAAGAGTGGACCAAAGTCCCTGCCACCCACGGAGTTGACGTTTTATTGAGAAAGACAAACAACCCCATAAATAAGTTCATAAAACTTAAAGGGATGTGTAGAAAACAAGCTACTGGAAGGAAGAGTAACTGGGAGAGAGGTGGAGGGGGGAGGCCAGAGCCTCCCGAGATCAGCGAGGCAGGCCTCTGGGAAGGCGGATTTTAACCTGAGATGAGAGGCGCCTGCCGCGGATGGGGAAGTAGAGCCTGCACAGCTGAAAGTACCTGCAAAAGACCTTTGGAAAGAAGTAAGTTTGCCGATGAGAAACCGAAACAAACTATCAGGTCTCTTTCTCCCTCAGGGCTTTCTTGCCTGTTTTCATTCATAGCCTGTTTTCATTCTGGCCTTCAAGCCACATCCTGATGTTGAAAGTCTCAAGGGCACAAGTCTCTCCAGTGTCAACAGCTAGCTATACTTTGGCGAAGTACTTTGCTTGGAGAAGAGAGAGCTGGAGAGTCGGATGAGGTAGGAAAGTTAGAAAGAACCAGATCATGGTGGGACCTGTAATTCGGGAAAGGGACTTGGATTTTCCTATTGTGAACATAAGCAAAAGTCCTCTTCCACCCCTATTATATTGTTTCCTAGGGGTTCTAGAGTAAGAATGGAAATACATTCATGGGGAAAATATCTACATGAACAAAACAGAGCCATGTGTCTGGGGATGTCCCTCACCCATCCAGACTTATCCCAGGGTCCATGTCAGCAGCCATCTAGTCTACCACATACACGGTCAGCTTGCACATCCCTTTTGAAAGACCATCTATTTAGGGAACTCCAAAGCCAAATCCTGAATTTTAGTAATTGTGTAAAAGCCAGTTTCCTCATCTATACTAAAAAGCACTTCTCAGAAGGGGAGTGGTTTGCTTCTCTTCACTGGGGTATGGGGAAATGCTGGGTACTAAAAGGTAGAGTACCTAGAGAGGGGCTGGTGAGAAAAGGGGAGAGAGTTTCAGAGCTTCTAAGGGACAGGTATGGGGAGCAGCAAGGAATGGCAGTTTCAGGAGTTGGATCAGGCACAGCTATTCCTCTACAAGAAACACGGTGCCACAATCATGTTTATAAACACTTTATTTAGGTCACTACAGTGGGTAGGTTCCCAGCTAAGTGCACAGATACAAGCGAGGTATTTCTGGGTTAATGCAGGAGCCAGTGGGTTACATGGGTCTGAGCTCTGTGGCCAAGGGGCGAGCACCAAGGTTTCAGAGTCACACCCGGCCAGAGATCCTGCGCTGAGGGTGGGCTAGTGTCCTAACACTGCCAGCTGCTTTCTTCTCACAGCTAGCCACACTGCAAGGCATGTCTTCAAAAGTAAATCATTTCAGCGATGTTAAGGGAACAGATGTTAAAGAAATGGAAGTTGTGTCCTGGTGCGCCTCAGCTGTTGCTGCTTTATAAGTCTTAATAGCATGTGAACAAGACTTTTAGAATATTCCAGTAACAGTGAGCCACAGAGCAATAAAGTCTGTGTCTTTCTCCCTCAGTGCCTCCTTGCCTGTTTTCTTTCATATCTGAATTCCCATCTTTAAGCTGTGTATCCTGATGTTGAGTCTCATGTATACAAGAAAAGTTTCTCCGATGACAAAGTTTCTTTGACGACAACAGCTACTTCCAGCATTCCCATCAACAGCATTCTCTGCAGTTGATGGTATCAAAGCAAAGGTCTCTGGTTGGCTACTCTCTGTGAAAAGAGTCGTTCACCCCTGACCAATGCCTAATTGCAGGCATAATTTAGAAAATGATTTAGGAAGCAGATGTGACTACAAATAGGAAACAAACTCCAAAAAGTTACCGTTTATCTTCATATTTGGGCCAGATAATGATCAAGGTCACAGGCGGTCTTACCTGAGGCTACAGAATTGTTGCTTGCATAATTATCAGAAACATGTTGGAGTCCACAGCTGATAATCTGCCAACTGCTGGGTAAAACTCTTCTGTCCATAGGAATGAGACGGTCAGAGTCTACCTCAAACCTTCTCTAACCCCCATGCAGAATACTGAATCAGAAGAGGAGCCACACTGTCTACAGCCTTTCAAAAGGAAGAAAGGCCTGTTAAGATGTACAAGTTTCATACACAAGGTAATGATTTTAATTCTGAAGGGGCACCTTGAGTTCCATTTGGCAGGTTTCTGAATTTAACTATCAGGAATACACTTAAGGCCATTTTATCGGCATTTAACTTTTTGGCAAAATAGAAGCTTTGGTCATAGCCATAGTTCTATAAAATTTTTTTAAAGGAGGTTATTTCTGATTAAACAACATTTTTAGCAAGTGATACATAAACAATAACAACAACGTAAACATCTTCAAATCTAATGCAAGAGCAAAAGCTCTTCACCAGCATCTTAAATACAGCGAGAGTCAGTAGTGCTTACAACAAGTAGAGGGTTCTCTTCTAGGGAATCAGAAAATTATCAAAATAAGGCACAGCCTGTTGTTATCACAGATTTGTGTTAGGCAGTAGTGTTTTTTTCTGGAAGGCACAAGTTGGAAATCCGATTACCCAAAGTTTTAAAATGTGGTTCTGAAAATAATGCCGAATGACAAGGGTAACTTACTGGGAGCAATGGCAATTAATTAGTGACAACATTACATCTAGATTATAGCACTCTGGAACTTAAGAAGGCCTCTTCATCAGCCCATACATAAATCTGTAAAGGCACTGTGCAAAATGTGGACGGGGCTGGCCTTACTTCTAATTTGGAGTGCATATTAAAAAACAAAGGCACGTTTCCTAGAAATTCAACTTTAACTAACACACACACAAAAAAACATTTTAGAGATAACAGTAGGTAAGCTTGATAATATAGCAGGTTCTAAGTCAAAAGTCTTGAAGAGGTTTCTTGAACAGCAGTTTTGAGTTCCGCTGGTTC